TTGGTAACTCACGAGGAAATTTTAACATTTTGACACAAGATTTTTTACTATACAGGGTCCGCCACCAAAATCTGGACAAAATGAAGAATTTGTTTAAACAAAATTTTATTTGTCAAAATGTATAGTTTACAAAAAACTTTTTGTACATCACTAGTGGCATCAATTTAGAATGAAATTATTCTATATAATCCCCTTTTGCTTCGATGACTGCTTCGATCCTCGGCCTGAAGCGCTGGCACGCTCTCTGCAATGCGTCCTTGTCCATATTGGCGAAAGCCGCCTCGATAGCGACTTGGAGAGATGTTATGTTGGGATTTCTCGATTTGTTGGTCACTCGTTCAATAACGTTCCATACGTAGTAGTCCAATGGATTCAAATTTGGACTATTCGGAGACTAGAATTCTTTGGAACAAAACATGTCCACATTATCCGACGGCCTCGGAGAGCATTCGTCGAACTTTTATCACATAGGACTTGAAGCGTAGGTCCTCTTCAGCAATTCGACGTATTGTAGTGTTACTCATACCCAATGTTTTTGCCAATTTTGTCAGAGACAGCCCTGGGTCCTCTGAGATGAGCTCTTGAGCCTTTTTGATAATTGCTGGAGTCCTTACCAACTTTTCTTTCGAATGGCTTTTCCTCTTCCGGTCAGTGGAACTTTTTTCGGACGTCTCCGAAGACAAATATTTAGTCGCAACATCATATACGGTCAACCTCGAGTACCCAAAGAACCGAATAATTTCAATCTGCCCAACGCCCAGCGCGAAGACTTTCGATTATCGCCGCTCTTCGATTATACTCTCTCATTCCCCGATCTTTGCTTCTTAACTTTTCTTTGGAAAGTCAGGATCGAAAATATCGAAGGATACATGGGAGATCGCAAAAATGTGTTTTCTGATTTCGATAGATACGTTTAATATAGCAAACTTAGTGAGAACGGATGTGAGAATAATAAATATCAGATTTATACGCAGCGCTTGCGGTAGGAGGAGTTTTTTGGCTATCTTCGTTCTCGTCTTGCGAACAGTTTTCGCTTCCCGATGGCAGTGATTCGGATATCAATGTTTGACATAAATAACATAATGTTATCGCGACGTTGATTAAGCGTAACTGTCATATTTGCGGAGTGATATATATAAAAAAAAACGATAGTACATACAAAAATGTTAAAATAAAACAATTTAAACGATAAACAAATTAATTAATCACAGCCAACCATTCTCGTTACGTTACGAAAATAATTGATTATGACTAACCAATTTGCTTATAGTTGAAGTTTGAATGCTTATGTTTTTGTGTATACCATCGATCTAACAATCCAGCAAAATGTAGCAAATGATTGCTTCGTGAAACGCTAGTCAATTCACGAAATTGCATATCGACAAATGATCTTATCCAACGGACGTCTATCAGCGTGTCAATAGGATTGACCGACACGAAACAGTGACAACAGGCCGCGAGTCAAGTAAAGCGTCCATATCCGAAGAAAACGACGATATGCGAGTTTACGATGGAAGCGAGAACTGTACGGCGTGCCACACCGGGTGCGTTGACCCAAGTTACGGTAACCCAGACTGCGGAGTTGCACCTGCCTCACGCCGAGTTACCAATGCGAGAGGTCGACTTTTTTCTTTTCTGCACTCTTCTGGTTTCTCTCTTCTCTGGCAATCGTGCATTGTCCGCTGATTCGAGCGTGGATTAACTCTCTCTCTCTCTCTCTCTCTCTCTCTCTCTCTCTCTCTCTCTTTCTCTCTCTCCTCCCCCCTCTCTCTCATCATGTTTTGATTGCTGTGGACACACCACGTGATAACGGACAAGTAGAGGGATTAAACAAAATCCTAATCCTTATAGTTGCAAAACTGTGATGATTACAAAAAATGGATGATTCCAATAAATAAGACCAAGTAATTTATTCGATAGAATATGCAATAAATAATACGATCCACAGATCAATTGGAGATACTCCTAGCCGATTATTATTTGGTTTAGATCAATTCTGATCTGTCAATGATATTTCACGTTTAATTTTAGACAATCAAACCGCGGGAACTAGAAATTTATTAGAGTTAAGAAAAGTCGCGTCAAATAAGATAACTGATAGGCAAACTGTAAATAAAAAAGCATACGATCGTGCATATAAAGAAGCGACTACACACGATGTGGAAGATTACATTATGATTACAAATGTCGACACTACCTCCGGAGTAAATAAAAAGCTCATCCCGAAATACAAGATGCCATATGTATTCTGCACACAAAATATTAGGCTTCGACCGTTATTTTGTACATGACGTTCCAAAATTTCTAGTCATATAATTACTATAGAACGTAATGTCTACAGATCGCATAAACCGTGAATACGCGATTAATCGCGTATTATATCTTATTTTAGTTATATATTGTTTTATTTTCTGGCGTACGTATATTTATTTTATTTGCGTGCTTTATTCTATATTATTATCAGATAACAATTTATTTCACGTTTATATCGATCGGGACGATAGAATCATCAGGATGGACAAATTGCAAGAGTTAGAGTCCCGCGTCTGTATGAAGTAGGCCGTCAAGATTTCGTCGTGCATGGCACGAATAGCCGAAGACTGGACGCTGGATTACGGCAAGTTAGATACATGACCCAAAGAATACCGCGGCTAGATAAGCAACACGCATTTCTAGATTATTTGTCTCGTACGTATAAATCTCGTACGTATAAATTTGGCGAAGAACACGAGAACAAAATATTGAACATGCTTGGCGAAATACGCGTGCTTCTATATGCGTATAGTACACACACACACACACACAACATTATGTTGGTTATTTAACAGAATTTTTATTTTAAGCGACATTTCAATTATTTAGAACGCATTGAAGAATTTTTTAAAATTATGGCGGACTTGTATCCACTTGAACAATTAATATGTATATTCCAATAGCAAACAAAAAACGTACCTAGTTGAAATTGACGATTGGTGAACAGAAATATTACAAAAGTTAACTTATTATTTAATATTAGATATTAAAAGTAATAAAAAACCAATTATATAGCGATTATATAGCGAAAACTGTGCAATTATTGTGAATATATCCAAACATAAAATTCCGCTAATTTAAAATGATATATCTTGTAAACTAAAGGCGATCCCCACATAATTCATAGGAATGAATTGACGCAGAATTTTACTCTTTATAACATATTTGAAAACCAAAAAATCCAAGAGGTGCAATCTTTTCTATATAATTACCAAATTCAGTTTTAATTTAGGCAATAGTCTTGCAAATAGTAATGTTTTATTTAGAAAATCATAATTTCTTTATGTTATTTTTACTTGCGATTATAGAACGATGACGTTGAAGAATAGTTGTAACAGAAAAAAAATGATTCTAGCGCGTGTTCGAAAACATATTTTTTGGACCACTTAAAAGAAGATATTTTGAAATGTCAAAAGATGTTTTATGGAGAAAAATAATTTTGTTGTGGAAATATAAAAAATAGTTTATTTTTTACTTGCGAAATGGTAACACGTATTATTTAAAAAAATAATAAATGATTTAGATTCATGGTTTGCAGGATACGCTTGCGTCAATTACACGCCATCTGATCTTAATAAAACCCTATTATTTATTATTTTCGAAAAGAGCGTAATTACAATGTTTACTTACGTGCACACACAAATTTTGAGCAAAAGGAAATCGATTCACTTATGGAAAATCATATACACGCACATTATAAACTGACCCTGCGTCAAGTTTGAATGCCTCCCAAATATTAATTAATCAGTTTATCAGATCATGTCTAATGGACAGAGCGACTCTTTTTTCAAGATTGTGGAGAACTCATGGATCACGAATTTTTCTTCGCTATAATTCTTTAATCTAATATAATTCTTCGCTCTTTAAGCACAACTCATCAGGTCTATTTGATCTATATAATTCGGTGAAAAGTTTAAAAAGCCAACTCTAAGCGATCTTCCTGATTTCGTCGATCGAATTCCTCAATTATTCAATCATCGCCATATAATACGATGTACGACATCGTCATATACACGAATAATAATAGAGAGGAAGAGATAGAAGGATAGGACGGAAAGAGAATGGAGAGAGAGCGGAGAGGGAGAGGAAGAGAAAAGGATAGATTCTAGACAATATAACGTCTAAAATCGGGACATAAGACGTCTTAAAGATGTTTTCAGACGTCTTATGTTCCGATTTTAAGCGTTCTGTTATCAGGAATCATCTTCTATCTATTCCTAAAGTCGCAGTTATAGTGAATACGACATTGCTGCACTTATATTGACTTGCATCATCGTGATCATTTCCAACTTGATCGGAAGTCATAGGATACGTCAAAAATCGACAGATTTAAATCCTCGGGCGTTCCTCGCTGAAAGTATCGTCGAGTTCATGTGGATTAACGCAATGTCAAAATTGTCAATTACGGCAAAACAAGCATAATAAGGCGAAAATGATATAGCGGGATGAAGGAAGAGCATGTATCGCGCATGGTGCATAAACGACACATGTATACCTGCATATACGAGAAGAATCGAGGAGAGACGCGTGAGGTCTCCTCTTGACCTCACTTTCTAGAACGCTTCGAGTACCTAGAACGCTTCGAGCCTTCGATTTGCTAGTTCCATTCAATTTATTCGCACATTATCAGTGAACGAGCTGCTTCGCTGTACTTTGACGAGCACGTGACGTTATGTCTTTCCGCTAACCGAGATATTGAAGTCTGAGCTAGTTATGAAAGACAGATGAATCTAACGGCCACCGGCTCTTCTAAAGTGGCACACTGACCCGACGCGATTCGGACTCGCGGAAATCGTCAATTAAATTCGTGCTTTACGTTGATTTTTACATTTACAAACACTTATATTTCGAAAACACTCGTGTAACTGAGAACGAACGAAGAAACGGGGGCTCTGTATGACTTTCGTTTTTTTCCACAAATTATCAACCGGAAGAAGAGTGAGTAATAACTGATCGTTTCTTTGCAGATCTGGCGCAAATACGAGCGTTAGTCGAGTCGACGGGGATGCTGGGCGGTTCCACTTGCCCATCATGCGAGATGCCATTCGACAAGGGCAAGAAGCGTCGTCTGATCGATTCCTGCGGACACGAGCGATGTTACTCCTGCCTTTTTCGCAGCGAAGCCTGTCCGCTCTGTCTGCGCGGTACCGATCTCAACGATGACGGGCTCGAGGAGCCGCTCGGAGATGAGTTTGCCGCTTCCTCGGCTCCGTTGTCCATCTTCGCGCCCACGGACGGTTGGCTCGACGAGTCATCAACAGTCAACTCTCTCTGCGGAAGCCCAAGGCCACGCACTAAAATCACCATCAGGGCTAATCTGCCTTCTCGAGTGACGCATGTAAGCGCATCTTACTGCAACGACCGAAAAAATCAATGATGAAAAAGAAAACAATATGATGAATCTTTGTTTCTTTTTGCTAAAGTTTTGCCAAGTCTCGTTTGTGTTGTATTGTTACGGCAAAATATGATGCTATTATTTTTGTTGAAACTTGCGTTAAATAGCGCCTTCTAAATATTAACAGTTCGTATTTAAAAATAGTGAAATTCTTTCTCAATACTCCTCCGAATTAATTTATATACAATTAGAGGAATGTGTATAATTATTAATTATTATTAATTTATCTGCTATGATCAAGATTGTTATAACTGAGAAAGAGAAGGTAAGAGGAAGGTGAAAAGGAAAGGGAAAGTGAGCAAATTTCCTGCTGTCATTTTTTAGTTTATTTAATCATTCGAATAAATTATCAATTTCTCTTATTATTTGCTATTTTATTTTCAGCAACAGGATGGAGAAGAAAATCTCTCATCGACAGCAATGGCGAAGAACTTTAAGTGCAAGCCACCGACATTTTTAGATTCTTCCGTCTCTCAAGCTCAACAGAAACTCCAAATGACACAGAGTATGTCAAAACATGTAATTAATTATAAGCTTACTTTTCGGTATTTGAACATCGCTTACTCTCTTAATGTCATTTCAATACAAACTTGTCATTGTTTCAGTCCAATTTTGTTTTTTAAGAAAATATTTGTTATTAATAGCGTAAAATTTTGCGCAGGTTGCCCCACACCACCGAACCAACGAAAAAGATTCTTCCTCAATCCAAAAGTACTCAGAAGTTCCTTCACTCCACAGAAATCTTCAAGACGTATGACATCCTCGCCCGAACCAATCGCAAATGATAACCCCTCCGCGTTATCAGGTAAGAATTATTTGCTTTAAATTATGAAACAAAGAATGAGTCGATAATCGGAACTTGGAAATATAAAATCATATAGCCGTAAGCTATAGGCTAAGTGTGAGTCGACGCTTTCATATATCTATCTTTTTAAACCAACTTACAAAATCACGCTTTGCATTCGCTCAAAAATAATTTCCTCGGCTCGAGAATGAGCTGTGCGATGTTTAATTTTAACGCCAAAACCACCTACACACGTTTTGGACACACAGTTTGGATGACCACTTCGTTGGAGGGAAAAGCGAGATGGCCTGGCGTTGTCTTAGGGAAAATCAAGTCTCTGTGGAACAGCAGTCAAGGCACAGCTAACGACGGGCTGAATCAGCTTATCGGCTCGAGTAAAATTGCAGGCAGGGGAGATTTCTTAGAATTCGATGTGTATTGCTATCACATATACGAAATGCTTGGTGTTTGCGAGTGAATGCTGGAGAACTTTAAGGGATGTAATGCGTGAGCCTTCCGACTCACTGCATTCACCCGTGCGAGACTATTTTCCTTCTGATAACACTTTTCGTAGCAATTCACTTTGGAGCATGATAAACATACACACATATGCAGTTTGATTGCCTATCATTACGATTGTCACTTACGATGTCACTGCTTCTGCTGGAATCATGCTACATTGTATATATTTATTTTTCCTCCTCATTAAGTTGAACAATGATAATATATTCCGTGATCATCACATATTTTCCGTTAACTGAATTCTATTATTTATTATAATCCCATTTAACTAATTTTTTGAATTTAAATAAAACTTTTACATTTATCTACTCATAAAGCATAAATGTTCAAGAGACATCCTAGAGACGTTCTAAAGATATTCGAATATGTAAATTGTATTATATGAATACGAATTACGCTTAATTTTCCAACGCTTTTCGCTTCTTTTAACTTTAAATTATAATTTTTTTTAATGATTTGCACATAGACTTTTGTTAAATAAATTTAAATAACTTATAAGCAATATAATATAAACTTATGATAATAAATTTATAAATTTATAAATGATAATTTTATAAAATCATATATAAATAATAATTTTTAAATTCAAAATAGTCTTCATATTTGTGTCATAAATCCATACCGTATAACCATACCGTTAAACACTTGGATGTAACATTTCGTTTCTAATGTGTATGGCGTATGTCATATTATAACGATATGTTTAGATGAGCTATGTTTAGATGGACAAAACTACCCCACTTGAACGAGATATGAAGATTTAATTGCCACATGTATCGCATTTGTATTTGAATCGTTGTTCGTTGCTTTCAATATTCGAAATGGTACTTTGAGCAATAATGTCCGCCTGAACATATTTTAATAGAATGTGACTTTCACTTTTGTATTTTCATTTTCAATTCTCAAATATATATAGCACGAAGTATTTGCTGGACCAGTATATAGCACCTCTTTGAATTTTTTAGATTGGATCAGTTTGGCCGATTTTATGTCCTTCTTCCATCTTTTCATTTTAATTGGGTTGTCTTATACACCACGTCTTTCTAACTTATTTCCAATTTCTATCCTCAGATGACGAGGGCGGTTGTGTGAAGCCACTTTCTTCAAAGACTAGGAAATCGTCACAGTCGGATCTGTATATGAGACTGGGTTTGCTACTAGGATCCGGGCGGGCGAACGCAAACGCGGAATCAGACGCATGTTCCACGCGAGCCCCGGTGCAAGGGCATGACAGCTCTGCGGCTTCTTTCAGCAGCCTGACCAGCTTCGAGACGCAAACGTTGGCCTCGACAAACACGAGCCCGGTGTCCACATTGACGGGCACTTCGAGCGAAGCGGAGGCCGCGGCGGCGCTGCGATGTCCTGTCAAACCAAAGGTCAAGGCAAAGGGAAAGATCAAATCCAGGAACAGCGACAGCGCCGGCAGCTTAGCGTCCATTTCCACGTCGTTATCCGCGTCTACGTCGATGTCCATGTCTATGTCGGTGTCCGTCTCGGGTCTGTCAAATGGTAGCTCCAGCCCGCTCACGTCCAGAAGACATTCCGTTAATACCACTCAAACAGGTCAAGCAGACGAGGTCGGTCAATTTAAAAACAGACGATCCTGCATCAGGAGGTCAGCGAGAACTAACAATTTCAAGGGACCAGTAGACGCTAAATGTAATATTTGCTTCCTAACATTTCCAATCCGAGTGTTCCGAATATAACAAGGGTTTATGTTAATTTCAGTACGTTTCGCTCAGCATCACGCGACGCAGTTAACACTAAAGCCGTTGTTCTTTGAGGTACCTTTATTAGAGGAGGACCCACTTTTCGCGGGACGGCAATGGCTATTGCACGAATTAGAATCCATGATCAACGGCTCCAGTCCTGGTATCTTGATCTCTGGATTGCCTGGCACGGGTAAAACCGCGCTCGTCCTGCAGTTGGTTGAACATAGTTGTTTTGGTAGAAGGAAGGAGCAGCCAAGATTTTTGGAAGCGAGTAACGAATACGACGAGAATGAGAAGCAGAACAGTAGCACGACTTTGCGAGCTAATATCCGGCATACGAATGAAAAGGTGCGACATTGACATGTTTCTTTTTCTTGAACGTTATTTTCTATTTTCAAGGACAAGGTACAAGATTGTGTTATCATGTTGAATCGTAGGTTCGCGAATTAGCCTCGCACGTCGTGGCTTACCATTTTTGTCAGGCCGATAATAACAGTACCTGTGTAGTGCCGGATTTAATTCACTCGTTAGCAGCTCAACTTTGCCAAGCCCCTCAATTGATCTCGTATAGAGAGTACCTCCTGTCCGAGCCTCATCTTCAGGGCTCGCTGTCGCAAAGGGAATGCACCGTCGATCCAGATCTCGCTCTCTCCAGGGGTATTATCGAGCCCCTTTCGACTTTGAAGAAAGCGAACAGATTACCAGACACAAATATGGTATTTAAATGAAGTATTAAGGTTGCATTTCTTTCATATCTTCCCTCGCAAATAAATAATAAACTCTTGCTTGTTCGCAGTAAGATATTGCTCACATATCCTGCTTTCAGGTGATATTAATCGATGCTATTTGTGAGGCCGAATATCACAGGCCGGACCGAGGCGACACTATAGCTTCTTTCCTAACCAGACACGCTCCTAACATTCCTAGTTGGCTAAAAATCGTTTGCACAGTCAAGTTGCAATTATTGGACTGCGCAAAACAACTACCGTATACAAGGATCTCGCTAGATAAGACTACGAACGATGTTGTCGGTAACGGCATCGCGAGGGACTTGTCCGATTACATCAACTATAGGCTCATGCAAAGTCCTTCCATACAGGCGAATATAACAGCGTCGGTAAATGGCAAGGCGGAATTGTCGTGCAGTGCGAGTCAGATGAGATTCGCTTCACACTTGCTCGCATTGGCTAAAGGAAGCTTCCTCTTTGCTAAGTTGACGCTCGATCTCATCGAAAGCGGCCATTTAGTTGCTAAATCTGCGAGTTACAAGGTATGTACATATGAGTATAAAAGATTTGAACTAATTAAATTTATTCGCACCAACAACCTGCGCTCGGCTTCTATGTTTTCCTTGCTGCTTCCTTTTTGTACGTTTCTTGACGTACACTACTAAAACGCTTGAAATTTCAAATATTAAAAACTACTATTTATAAGGCGCATTAGACCAAACGTTTGGACACAGGTTTATTTACTTTTCATGTAGATTCCCCGCATACAAGCAGATCAAAATTAGCGAAGCACTCACTGTGTCTTCTTTTTATTAGCAGTGTGATGATTCAGCGGTGCTATATTGTTGCAACAAGTCGCTCGTATATTTACCAGATTCGTATTACATAAACGCCCATCCAATGACGGTGCTAATTAGCGAGAGTTTACTTATTAATTATTACTTTATTAGTTCTCGTGCAAAAAACCCTAGAACTTCCGAAATCTGAGTATTTTTCGGACGAGTACTTTTCCGACAAGTTTTCAGACAGAACAGCGCCATATAAATAGTGAGCGTGAATCAATTTGTATCTCTCAAATTAAATTATAAGCGACAATAATAATGTACTTTATAACCTTAATGCTATTGAAGATTTAATGAATGTTACTTCGTTTTTCAGGTCCTACCGGTTTCTCTCGCGCAGATCTTTCAATTACATTTTAATTTGAGATTTCCCACGGCAGCTTCGTTTGACAAAGTGCAACCTCTTCTGGCTGTCTGCCTGGCAACTTTGTATCCACTGACCCTGCCTGAAATTTTCTACTCCGTAAATTCTCTAAATACAAGCTATTTTATTTCATGGGAAGACTTTTTGCAGAGATTCAAGGTAAGTATTAAATCGTTTTGAGAAAATGTAATATATAATATCCACTAATAGAGTGTTCATATCACATCTCTTTTTAACAAATAAAATTGTCTAATTTTTTTCTCCTTCGCCGACGCGACTGCGTGCGAAAACAAGTAAGTTGAAATAATTTAACAAAAAGACACCCTTATTAGATTAGAAGCGAATAAATAATAATTATTTTATTATTAACTACATTTTTCGATGAGAAATATACGCTCACGGCTTTTCAATTACGTATTCTCGGACAATGCCCCGTTAACAATGTGTTATATTAGTTGTTAATTGTCGCAGCGAATATCCGCCTATTTAACGTAACTTCCTCTTATTATTTAACGTAATCCTTCTCTTATTAGATGCTCTCTGGCTTTCTCGTGAAACGCTTGGACGACACGTACATGTTCTTCCACCCCTCATTCAGAGAATGGCTGATGAGGAGGGACGAGGGAGAATCGACCAAGTTCCTGTGTGACTACAGACTCGGGCACGCGGCGATAGCATTCAGATTGTCCCGCCTTCAAGCGCCGTTGGACGGTGACAAGACCTTGGAACTGGGCCATCACGTGTTAAAAGCGCACGTTTATAGAGGCGTAGCTCCGTGTTTACCCTCGCGCGATCTACAGGCAAGTATTTTAACACGACGAATAACAATTATAATAATACGTCAACACGCATATTATGAAAAGAAAATATAATCAAGCTTCGTTCCTGCAGGCAATCTGGCTGACTTCGTCGAGCGAATGCGTCTCTTTGGCGCTGTGTATGCTTCGAAACATTTATAGCCCGAACGTAAAGGTATCGCGATTGCTTTTGCTGGCAGGCGCATCTCCAAATTACATCACTGAATATCTAGGCAACGCATCGGCTCTATGCATGTACGCGCATGAGGGTTCCGTCGAAATGGTGTCGCTTCTCCTCGAGTTCGGTGCCGACGTCGAACTGACCAACAGCCAGGGTTGTACCGCGCTATCACTCGCAGCTGCCCGAGGTCACTGTGATGTCGTCAGGAGGTACGATTACATATAGCCGCACTAAATGCTTTGCATACGAGAACGTAGACACATTTGTCACATACTTCGCAGGCTGGCTGCCGCTGGAGCGTCATTGGGACACGCCGACATGGCCGGCCAATGTCCGTTAGTGCACGCGGCCAGGCATGGGAGATTATCCGTAGTAGGGTATCTCCTCGCCTGCGACTGGGTTGTACCTGCCAGCGAGAACAAAACGGAAGGTGGTTTCATAGAAGTAGGTAGAGAGGAAGCTGCCCAACAAGCCGTTGTCGCGGCCGCGTCGCAGGGCCACGAAGCCGTCGTGGAATATCTTCTAGATATGGCTGAGGTTATCGTAGATCGTCCCGATACGTTGATAGGCGAGACCGCTCTGACAATTGCCGCTGCGAACGGCTTAACCGCGACAGTCTCTGCCCTCTTAGCCCGTGGCGCTAACCCGATGGCTGTCAACGCGAAAAGTCTTTCCCCTTTAATGCTTGCCGTTAGAGAAGGCCACTGGAGTACTGCTGAACAGCTCTTGCAAGGTTCGTATGTTTCCTTCCTCTTCATCTTTCGGATGAAGAACCGACTTGATGAGTTGTTGAATTCACGTTTCACAGGAGTTTTGTCCGCCAGCACAGACGCGGCAGTGGACGAAGTTTTACCGCTTCTGGAACAACGCGACCACGCTGGCCGTACCACGTTAATATTCGCTGCTTCAGAGGGTCATACCAGCCTGATCGAGTTACTTCTCGACAAAGGATCGATCTTAGAAACGAAGGATAAAGATGGACTCACTGCGCTCTGTTGGGCTTGCGTTAGAGGACGCGTGGCCGCCGTACAATTTTTACTGGACCGTGGCGCTGATGTCAATACTAACGACAACACCGGTAGAACTCCTTTGGATTTGGCCGCATTCCAGGTAGATTTCAGCGTTCCTGCTTCTTTGTCCGCGCTACCATTTTATTCGTCATATATTGCTAATGATTTAATGTCGCCGGTGTCTATCTAATACATGGGGGAACATATCATAGGGTAATCCAAAACTGGTACAGCTGTTGCTCGAGAAAGGTGCCGCAGTGGAACATGTCGATCTTCATGGCATGCGTCCCTTGGATCGAGCTATCGGATGTCGCAATATACCGGTGGTTCAATGCTTCTTGCGTCGTGGCGCTAAACTGGGTCCCGCTACTTGGACTATGGCGGCTGGAAAACCGGATGTTTTAATAATCCTGCTAAATAAGCTTTTGGAGGATGGCAACGTGTTGTATCGGAAGAACCGGTTGAAAGAAGCGTCGCATCGATACGCGTACGCTCTCAGAAAATTTCCAACTTCGCCGGAGGAGGATTGCCAAGGCCAGGAACAGGGTCATATGATGCTGCAACTTCAAACTTTTACACAGCTTCGCTTAAACTTTCTTCTGAATCTCAGTCGATGCAAACGTAAAATGAACGTTAGTAATATCGGCTTATTATCTGTTACACTGGTTTTGTCCATTCGTTTGTTTATTTATAATATAACATGATTCTTCGACAGGAATACATCGAGGCAATCGAACTTGCTGACGAAGCTCTCAACGTACGGTCCGTGTCCTATGAGGCGTTCTATGCCAGAGCTAAAGCGCGCGTGGACTTGGGCTTGCTCGAGGACGCCTTATCGGATGTTCAAGAAGCTCTACGAAACACACCGGCTTACAACAGACAAGATCGTAGAGTACTTACGAGCTTGAGAGAAGAGATCGTCTCTCGGATTGATGGTGCTGGATCCAGTAAAGGATACGGTGACTGCGTAACCAGATCTCGCCTACGAGCGTCAGTAGACACTCTTACAGAATTATAAAGACATTTGTAACGGCCACAAAATCGGGGATAAGTTAAGATTACACATAATCCTTTCGATTCGAGTGTCAATTATGATGATTACTATTCCTCCATGATGACATCGAATTCAGGACCGAATTTAGGGAACGGCCAAACGAATTTTATTCGGCTTAGAGATTCTTGAGAGACCTAAACGGAGTTTTGCGCTCCGTGTTTGTGTTCATTGAGCGTGTCAAATAACGACAAAAGTTGGTCGAGAAATCAAAAACTTACTCCCTTAATTGAGATTGAGATTTTAAACATATGTCTATTACAGTCTTCAAGTGGGAAGTGTGTTACGCATCTTTAACATATTTCACCCCGTATATCTTATTATTATTACAAATAATTTATTATTTAGATATTTAAACTTTCGCGTGTTCTCCAAGAGCACATTCTGATGCGAAAATAATTGATTCAATTAAATTTAACTGTACGTTTTCGGTATAAATTACGTATACTTGAAAATTCCTTAATATTCTTATAATACTTACATATTTTACTGAATAAAAATATTTTCAAACGTTTAGAATAACGATAATTATACTTGATTCTAATAGATACGTGCACAGTAATTGTAATAGCGGCCGCCATAGCAGGATCAAGTCGTATTTTAATTTATACGATACTCGGACGTTGGTTGATTGTTATTAAAATTCGGAATATTTGGCAGCTATATTGTTTGGCCATAAAGCTTGCACATGTTGATTATAATCTACAAAGTTGCCCGTCCAAAGATGATTTTAAAAGAGAAGACATCCTACATTCTTTCTGTTATACGAATATATAACATTATTTATTTGAATTATACTTTTCATAATGATCACGAATTGAATAAAAATTTATATATACGCGCACGTGCACACAAATTTATAGAGGAAAAAGTGGTATTATGGCCCTTCATTTATATTTTGTTTAATAACTTTATTAATATTTTTACTTGAAAATTTAACGATTACATTCGTCGAAGTGTTGTTCAATCTATTCTAGAAAGTTATGAAATACTTATTATTTATTTATAAAAATTGGACAACATTGTATAATGAATCGAAAAGAAATATAGGTAGTAATGTGGCCTCTATTAAAATAGATTTAAAAAATTAGTTTTTTTTTTTAAATAGTGTTTTGTTATAAATTTATATATTTATTCGAAATAGATTTTCTTAGAAGGAACACAATGAATATGAATAATGAATTTAAGCGTGAATTTTTAATATATTCGGTTAGCCAAAAAGTCTTTTTTTGTTTTTTTTTTAAAGAAAATTTAGAGACATATTTTATGTGCAAACTCAAAACTTCGTTTAATAATATATTGATCTTTTTATTCAACTATTTTCTTCCATTTTTCAGACAGCTTTATTATTCCATCCTCGAAGAACTTTCCATTTTTTTCAGTGAAAGATAACTTCAGGTAGATGTTTCCAGATTGTCGCATTTCTTTCCATTAAAGCTCGACTCCCTCCGCTAGCCATATTTTGTGACGCCATAGATGAGAAATTACATGCAATAACCCACATAGCAAAATATATCAGAGATATATATTTTTTTGGGGGTCTCTTGACAAGCTGTCCTAGTACAGGACATTCAGTGATTTGTTTGATGTTAGAAAGGCTTGCGCGAAATATGCCCCTTTGCACATTCCATTCTATTCAAAACTTTGAGTCAGCCTGTTAACAGATCTGGGGGAATCTTTCGTTTTAACCTTCTTATAGAGTTTCCTTCCGTCATAAGATAATTAGCCAAAGTGTTTGGATGATTTGTTATTCTTTCTCTGTAGCTTTCGATTCTTGACTTAATCTTTTTCCTTATTGTGGGTAAATTCAAGTTATGGTGTATGATGTCGTTAGTTACGTACCAAGATGCATGAGTTATGATTCTCAATATCTTTGTAAAATTTCAATGTTAGAAAGGGACACTGTACCCCATAGCTGGATCCCATATGTCCAGATGGGTTTTAAGATGACTTTGTATAAGAGCAGTTTGCTCTCTAGGTTTAATTGCGATTTGTGATTCATCATCCAGTACATTTTACGCAGTTGGAGTTCCATCTGCTTTCTCTTGGCAAAAATGTGTTTTTTCCAAGCGAATCTGTCTAGATGCATTCCGAGATATCTAACTTGTTCCATTGCGGGCACCTCAACGTCATTCATCCTGAAATATTAACTTTTAGATTATATATGCATGAAATTTACACCAAGCATAATCATATTAAACGCGAAGTGAACGTTATCTTTTAAAAAAAACGAAAAAACTTATTGGCCAACTCAATAGATAGGGACTTATTTATTGGATGGTAGGCACAAATTGTCAGAAAGACAGTTTCTACAAAACAAATAGAATTTTAAACCTAACTTGAATTGTTAACTTATCGAATAACTGCTTCGATATATGAAAATCTCAAAAAAGAAACCATATTAAACCTACCCTAGTAGCACACTTCATTGGCGTTACATTGACCAATGTTCAGCCAATACATCACCAATGAAATGTGCTACTAGGGTATTTTAATAGGAAGTCACATTAGCAAAATGCTATGTTATTGTTTAACTTGGCATAACTCGAAATGTATACAGCGGGATAAAATATTAAATAATGAACAAAACATTCACAAAGTGTACATCTATTTGTGTGATAATACGCCCAAATTTAAGAAGAACGAGGAAATATGTATAATTAAATGCTGAAATATATTTTGAAAACATGTCGAAATGCTCGAAAGTTAAAATGCGTTATAACAAATGCCAACTATTGGGTATTGGCATATTAGCGCTATTACGTAACAACGGGCTATTAAATAAGTGACTCCATAAATAATCACTAAAATTCGCTAACTAGTAGCGGAGATATTAAGAGGGGAGAGATATTATTATTCATTATACCTACCAAGGCCATGATGAGACTTTTTCTTCTATGTAAATGTGTATTATATCGATATATAGTAATTGGGTTTGTAGCATTATTCTAATTAAAAAGAGAAATTATTTAATTGTTCCTTTTTTTTAGTATTTTATATAACAGCCATTAAAATATGCACTGCTGCGTGGGTTGTATATATAATACGTTGAACTTTCCGTTTAGACTGTTTCCTATTTTTGTTATGGAACTATTCAACAATTATGTCACATGAAATTTGAATATTTTTACTCTTCTCCCCTTCGTCACATTCTGTCACAAAATATTTAGACTCCTTTCCAATATTACGTGACGTGTAGAATTAAGCCCCCTCTCTGTCTCTATATGTTACTAAATTTTTTTAGATCCAGCATGAAAATAAGTACCGTGTGCCGAGGGCTTAATGTGATGTTCTATGATCTTTATTTTCCATCTATCTGCTGTCATACAAGCTAATAGACTCCCCTTCTTCGTGGTGTGATGTAATTGTTGAATGTGTATGCGTGCGCGCGCGCGCGCGTGTGTGTATATGTGTGTGTGTGTGTATGACTTCTTGTTTAAATATAACTTATTATAAAATGTCATATAATCATGTATTGATACCGAAATACTATACATATACAATTATTACGTCATAGAACGTAAATGATCCACGCAGCGGGATGATCATTTTTAAGTGTTATTTAAAAAAATTCAGTTCTTAATAAGTCAACTTCGCAAAGCTTACTATAAAAATAATGTTGAAAAATTTAATACAATGTCAGCAAGAAATTCAACCATAAAAGTAGTTACATTCTACAATGATCTAATTGAAGTGAAGATAAGTTGTATTTATGTTTAACATGTTTCAACTCAATACGTTGCAATATGCCGTTATAATTATAAATATTTTATTCCAAAAAGAAATTATTCTTATTAAAAATATAGTATTTTAAAGTTGAATATTAACATTAGAAATAAAAAGCTTTTTTTCCCTTTTTTTCTTTTTTGACAGGAAATTGTATAAATACATACAAATTTCATAAAACTATGTGTATTCTGTAGTACATTTAAAACGTTATTTTCTTACTAATAATGATTTTTTCAGTCTTATAAATATTATAATGCATATATTATAAGTAAACTATCAATTTCGAGAACGTGCGGGAGGGGGAGAGGGGAGGCACATGCGACCCACGCGGCATGAACGGAAAGTCGTCAAAAATCAGTCCGTGTTAATCAGCAAACGTGTTAATAATCTTAGTATGATATTTGTTAATAAATTAAATATAAATTTCATATAAATTTGAGCCATGTATATATAGAATAGTTATGAAAATTTCCAATCTGGACACGAAGAAAGTTAATGCCGTTATCGATAACACGAAAAAAAGTCTGATTTCTTAACTTCACAGCAATATTCATTATGCTTACATCTTGCCAAGCGTATACTCTCGTAAAATATTGCAAAACTGGTGTTAATGTAAACCGCTGTTTAAGCAGTTTATTTAAATATTTTCGTAAACGCAATTTACAAATGTAACGGAGCGCTGTTTTTTTTTTTAATTCGTTTCAAACATAAGGATAAAAGATATACTGAATGTTATTAATTCTGTCGTAACGATAAAGAGAAAGTGTCAAATAAACCAATTTTTCATTCAAACAGAAATCTTTTTACTTCCATATCGATATATCTCGATAAGACGATTACATATAATTTAAGATAGCATTGAAATATTTACGTTCATTAGTTGAACGCGGGAGAATCAGTGTTTCTTCCTGTTTCCCTTATTGTTCCAGCACGTATCCTATTTTTTTTTTAATTGTACTTATAATCGAGGAAATTGTAAAATATAAAAAGATTTTGTGCAAAATTATCAGTTTTCAATTTTAAAATAGTAGCCATATAATCATTGAAAATATTTTACTAAATAAGCTTCGATCGTGCTAACGCCTTAAATACATAAAATGCATGAATTTTACGTGAGTGACCGTTGATGCCTAAGATTTCAAATACGAAATTTAGTCTCAAATGTATGTCAAGATACGACTGTATTGACGACTAAAGTTATAATAAATACACTTTATTTAATTATATACACATGTATAATATATTTAATCTATGTTATTTAAAAATAATGGCGTTAAAAAATCTCATCCCATACATTCCGTGCATTTGAAGTATTTTCAAAGAATAGTGATTACGAGCTGATGTTTCAGTGTTCTTAATTAATATTTATACGTAGGGAAATACGAGGGTGGATCAAATATAAACGAGCCTTTTGCAAAAAAATCATATATTTTTCAAAATCAATTCTAATTAACATTTTTCTTATTTTTCTACATAGTCCCCCATCTTATCTATACACTTCCTCCAACGGTCTGATAATTTTTTAATCCCGGCATCATAAAAAGTTCGCGGACATGTATCAAACCAATTGCACACGAACTGTACTTGTACTTTCTCGTTCGTTGTGAAGCGCTGTCCACCAAGGGCTTCCTTGAGTGGCCCAAACATATCGCATGGTGACAGGTCTGGATTGTAGTGTGGATGTTCTAGGACAGCCCAGTGCATATCGGCTAATTTTTATTGTGTTACTGCTGCGGTGTGAGGTCTGGCGTTGTCATGGGGAAGCGATACACTTCTGATCGGAACGTCGCGCCTTTTTGACCGATAGGCAGCTCGAACTTGGCTAAGAAGATCACAATAATAGACAGCATTGATGGTTCGACGTTCTTGAAGAAAATCGACCAGCAGAATGCCTTTGCAGTCCCAGAATACTGTGGCCAAGACCTTCCCCGTAGACAACCGCGTCTTCGTTTTCATCGGTGCACTTTCGCCAGTCTTCCGCCTTTGTAACCCAACGAGCCGACACCAATTTTCGAAATCCCAACTCATTGCGAATGATTGATTGCACACTTCCATTTCTGATCTGAAGTTCCTGAGAGATTTCATGAGCAGTTAAGCGCCTGCGATGAGTTCTCGAACAGCCTCGGTGTTTTGCGCTGTGATACTGGTGCGGGGATGGCGCGGGTGGGCAATGTTTTTAACATGCTCCCGTCCTTTCTTAAATTCGTTACACCACTGTTTCACCCGAGCCCATGAAAAGGTTCTTTCCTCGAACTGTAGGAGTAAACGGCGCCGAATTTCAGCAGCATTTACATTTTCATTGACGAGAAACTTAATAATAACACGTTGTGCAACTGCGGGGTGTACCTCTTTCTCGCTCATCGTAATTGCTGCTGACAGTAAAAAGCACGTGGCGCGCCAACGTTATTACTGTCTTCCACATGACCCCCCTCCACTGTCCAAAACGTTGCAGACCCCTCACGCCGCCGACGGACGCTCAATTTAAAAAGGTTCCTTTATATTTGATCCACCCTCGTATGTATTATTTCCGATACATGTACATAGTAGAAAATAATTTGTTGAATAAGATTGTACTTTACTGTGCAACCGGAGGTTCAGCCACGTAAGAGAGCGCGGCTGACCGGAAGAAGAGGGATACCGCATGAAAAGCAGAAGTTTTAAAAAGCCAAATTGAAAACAAGGAACGCACGTGCGCGGGAGCCGCGTGGGTGAGAGGCGATTGGCCGGAACAAGAGACAAACGAGGGAATTGGAGGAGACCGACGATGGCCGCGCGCGCGCCTGCGCCAGACATCGAGGCGTGACTGCGATTGGCCAAAACCGACAGCGAATCAGGAAGTATCGCGAAAGGTGGAGAGCGTTTGAAATCAAAGAAGAGGGAAAAGCAGGCAGTTGCAAGCGAGCATGGGATGAGAGAAGACGTAAACCCAGAGGAGCGAAGAATTACGCAGGGACGAAAGGAAAGGGGAACCCTGGAAAGATTGCTGCTGGAGAGGAAAGCCGGCGGTGGAGGCCCAGGAAGACGCGGGGAAACGACCGGTCGCCTGGCGACGGTAAGTGGTATAAGAAAAAAATTGCCACAGTTCCCCCTCGTAATTTTCCGGGAAATCGGGACCCCTCGTCGGAGAAGAGAGATACCCGGTGGGAGGCTCGACGCGGATCGCGACGACGAAGGCCGGAATCCGAGGACCACCCGGGTACAATAAACGACGCCTATTACGTCGTTTCATCGTGCGTATCTGAATGTGTTTCGGTTTGTTACGGAGAGAGTCCTGTGTCACAATAGGGCGGGACAAGAAAGCCGCGAAAAAAAAAATTTGCGCAGCGGTATTTCCCTTATCATCGCGTCGGTTCGCGGAAAAAATTTCGTCTTCTAGGAACAGTGTTTCTACGAGTTAGATTCAAGACGTAATAGTTCGGTTTGTTATTTCAGGACAGTTAATCGTTTTCTTTTATTGTAAATATTACTTCCATACGGACACCCAAATATACTTATAACTATTCTGTAGTTTCTAAGTGCGTTTATCTTATTATCTTAATCAAGCCGTTCCTTATATATATATATTTTTTTATTCCGTTATTCCTTAGAGTATTTGTAATATGTATGTGTGTGTATATATATATATATATACATATGCATATACATAAATATATATATATATTTTTATTCCGTTATTCCTTAGAATATTTGTAATATGTATGTGTATATATATATATATATATATATAAGATAGTATATATATAAGATAGATATGTATATATATATATATTTTTTTTTGTTAATCATATCATCGTTTGTCGCGCTAATAATTTTTATTTTTTCTTAATAAACAGAATTTAGTCTTTCGCGTTCCAAGAAACGTGCTTCCTTTCTCGCGCCTTCCTGCTTTTCCATACCGTGTGTCTGGGGTGGGCGTCCTGTGGCTCGGATACTCTCTTCGGGGACGACAACGCTGTCAGGGAGGGAAACCCCCTCGCACACCAACTATAACACGGCATATCTGGGGAGACTTGGCCGGTCCAGCTTCCCGGGCCTCGAGTTTGGGCGAAACTCTCAAAACGCCCTGGCGACCGTGGACGGGCAGCGGGATCCTTGGGGAAGTTCACTTCTAAAGGTTCGGCGAGGCCTGGACGGTTAAACGTCGACTTTNTTTTTTTTTTTTACCAAAAAACCGGAAAAAACTTATGCATATACCTGGTACTTAGTGACATCCGGTTACGACTGCTACTTGAATCGACATCTATAATATTATCTTGTAACGTATAATTTTTCTAATGCTAATAAGATCTTTTTAAAAAAAAATAAAATATATATTATCTACATAAATATGCCAGTAACCAGTAAAAATATTTGAAAGTTAAATGATATGATATACGCAGAATTATATAAACGTAAGACGTTTGATACAACGGAAGAATCTATTGGCTTCTACCCACAGGACGCGGCAACACTTGCCGCGCGGCTGGAAGTTCGCGCGATAGCCAATAAACATCTAGTTCTTATCGAAAATGAACGGCATGTTGATTGGCTACCGCGCGAATTTTCGCCGCACGACAAGCGTGCCGTGTCTTTTGGGCAGAAGCTATATGAGAAAAATCTTTTGATTGGTAAGCACCAGTTCCACGAGTTCCTTTCCGTGGGGCAGTAGAAAATATGTTTCAGTGGAGCGCAATTAGAGGATTGTTTGCTGGATTGGACGGACTTTATTCCACCAATTCCGCATTGGGTATACGAGGAGGGACCCCAAAAAAAAAACCGGATTTTTTGTATAAAAACTTTATTTATTAGATTTTTTACAAAATTCCTTCAGTCACCTTCAAAGTACTCTCCATTAGATACGATACACTTGTCAAGTCTTTTTTCCCACTGTTTGAAGCATCTCTGGAACTCTTCAACTTTGATATCGTCCAGTGCCCTTTGCGAAGCTGTTTTTACCGCCTCCATATCGTCAAAACGCTTCCCTTTTAGATTTTTCTTCATTCTCGGAAACAGAAAAAAGTCGCACGGGGCTAGGTCTGGTGAATACGGAGGGTGGGGAACGACAGGCCATCCTCGAGAGGCCAAATAATGGGTCACTCGTAAGGCCGTGTGTACGGGGGCAACTGCTCGGTCAAAATCCGCTGGCACGAGCTCCAACTCACGCCTGTCTCTTCTGAAATTTGGTCGATCGTGAAACGACGATCTTCGTTGATTTTTTGGCGGATTTTTTCAACATTTTCATCGTTTCGAGATGTTGAAGGACGCCCAGAACGAGCATGGTCTTCAACACTCATCTCACCATGTTTAAAGCGCCCAAACCACTCGAAAACTTGTGTGCGGCTCATAGCATCCTCTTTAAAAGCCTGTTGTAACATTTGGTAAGCTTCCGTTGCCGATTTTTCAAGCAAGAAACAAAATTTCAAACACACTCTTTGTTCTTTTAAATTTGCCATAACAATTTTCGCAGGTGGAAAAAAATAACAGTAAGAGAAACACAACACTACGCTCAAACGTTAACCTACAAACTGACGCCGTCTGCACAGCTGTTTCGTGAAGGTCTCTACTAACCTCATGTAGTGGGAGAACTCTCTACTACGTCTACGAATGGCAGCGCACTCTCAGTTCAATTTTTTTTGGTTCCCCCCTCGTATATTCCGCACCATGGGACCACCGAGCCATAACTTATTTACTAGTTCAGCAGTACAGCTAAAAAGAACACACCACAGAGACAGCCTGTTCAGTAAACTCGTGCATTGTTGAATTCCGCTGCATTGCTATGAAAAGAACGTCTGCATGTGCAGTTCCAACTAAGAAAAACGTTTCTTTTTTTTTATACATCTATGAATTAAATTAAATTAGGTAAGATTATATAAAACTTTCATACCCGTGACTCTAAAAAATATTTCTGCGAATAGAATGTTATTTTAGAAACATCAGTGTCGATATTTTCTGATCCTGGTAATCTTCGGGGAATAATGTCTGCCGCAAAACCCGAAGCAAAATGTTGGAAGGAATACAACTGTAAACGGAAAGAGTTACAAAAACAATGGAAGGAAGAGAAGCTGATAAAAAAAGCTAGGAAAGCGGAATTAAAAGAGCAATTGAAGAATGAAACAAAGGAGCACGTAGAAGATATAAAGTATGAACAGCCGGAAATCTGCACTGTGAGTATAGCAATACCTGGATCAATTCTCGACAACGCACAGTCCTTGGAATTACGGACATATCTGGCAGGACAAATTGCGCGTGCTGCATGCATCTACAATATAGATGAGGTCATAGTGTTTGATGACAAAGGCGATGTCACGGAGGATGAAAAAAAGAAGATGAGGAAAAACGACATACTTGGCGAAGCCAGAATAGGATGTCTGCAATTGGCTAGAATATTGCAGTATATGGAATGTCCACAGTACCTGAGGAAATATTTCTTCCCAATTCATAAAGATTTACAATATGCAGGTATATTGAATCCTTTGAATACGCCACATCACTTAAAACAGGATGACATTTCTCTGTACCGGGAAGGAATAGTTACGAACAAACCCACAAAAATTGGCAAAGGTTGTCAGGTAAATGTAGGACTCCAGAATGACGTTTACATTGATAAGATGTTAATACCTGGATTAAGAGTGACTGTAAAAATACCACCTAACCAACCAAATCCCAAAAAGTTGAAGGGTATTGTAGTACCACCCAACATACCACGTATGGAAACTGGCATATACTGGGGATATACTGTCAAATTAGTCAAAAATCTAACAGAAGTACTGACCAATTGTCAATACAAAGGTGGATATGACTTAACAATTGGAACATCTGACAAGGGAACATTGATTGATGAAATAGAAGCAAGAAGTTTGGAATATCGCCATTGCCTGATAGTATTTGGAGGTCTCGCTGGATTAGAAGCAATAGTAGATGTAGACTCACAGTTGGACACTGATGATCCATCATTAGTATTTCACAAATATTTAAATACATGTCCCCAGCAAGGATCACAGACAATCAGAACAGAAGAAGCAGTTCTTATAACTCTAGCTGAATTAAGAACAAAGCTGATGCCCAAAAAACAAGATGTTACCCAAAAATAAGTAAATTTAAAATAGATAAGTACATATTGCATTTGAAACTATTAATTAAATCTTACTGTACTAATTGCAATTATAAGAAATCTTTAATTGTAAGAAGACAGATCTTTGTACATATACATCCTTATAAAAATATAAAGCATCATTATTTTCTTAAGAATATTTCTCGCATTGTCTCTAATTACTATCATTATCCTGTATGTTTGTGTTTCAAATAACAATTTACAGTATTTCGAAGCGTGGAAATTACTTTAGCTTGATCAGGAGAACCTATAATAGCTGTACCAGACACAATCATATTAGCACCAGCCTAAAAATATGATAAATATAATGAGATAATATAATGATATAACTTGAATAGCACATATACACACAAATCAAATTTTTTAATAAAATTAATTGTAAATTATAGTAATTCTTATAATTCATCATGTATACCTTTGCACAAGACTCAATTGTAGTAAGTCCAACTCCGCCGTCAACTTCAATGTCCAATAAAGGATAATTTTCTCTCAACCATGCTACTTTTTGTAACATTGACTCTATAAATTTTTGACCGCCAAAACCAGGTTCCACGGTCATTACTAAGACCATATCAGCCAAATTGATATAATCGCATACAGCATCCACAGGTGTTCCTGGCTTCAGTGCTACACCAACCTGTTTTTTGTTCAATTTATGCAATATGTTGAAATATGTAATGGTAAAAAAAAATGTTTTTGTTGATGTTACCTTCATCCCTGCTTCTTTTACTTTTCTACAGACTAGAGAAACATCTTTTACTGGTTCAACGTGAAATGTATATTGATCTACCCCTGCATCAGCCATAGGTACAATCCACTGCAATTATATATATAATTATGCAATTATATATAAATATATCTTGATATATCTTTTAATTAAAAATCTTGTTTAAATATTCTTGCTACATACTTGGTCTGGATTAGATACCATCATATGCGTTTCGAAAAAAGCATCTTTTATTTTATTTCTAAGACACTTTACGATAGGATGACCAAATGTAAGATTAGGTACGAAGTGACCGTCCATCACATCCAAATGCAAATAATCTGCGCCATTATTTAATAACTTTTGCGATTCCTCATAAAGTTGCGTTAAGTCAGCATTTAAAATCGACGGACCAATTTTTGCACTAAGGTTTGCCATACCTTTGCAAGTATTTGAGAAATTTTCAGTCACTTTAAGGTAAAATTATATGAATAAACTCACATATGTCTGGTATAAATCTATAGAGAAATAGATCCGAATAAAAAACTTCTAAAACCTGTAATCTTTCTTTCGTAATCGATGTGACTCTTAAGCCTGTTCTACAATACGTCGTATGTCGGAATCAGATTTCGAAATGTAGTCGATGATTCAATAGCGATAACACGTTCTCGAAAAATACTTGGTTTGTTCTTTACAGCTGCACTGTTGAACTGGTGCAATAAGTTGAAATGAGAAAATATATATTTGTCTCACTTCAACTTATTGCATCAGTTCAGCAGTCTAGCTAGAAAGAACAAACAAAAATTCTTTCATTGGATCATCAGTTGCGTTTCGTCTCCGACATACGGCGTATTAAGTCAACGGCACACGATGCTTTTTGTGCTGAAGTCTGTTCGTTTTCGCTGCACCGCTGAACTAGTGCATAAGTTGAAGCGAGACAATTATATGTTTTCTTACTTCAACTTATTGCACTAGTTCAGCAGTGGAGCGAAAACGAACAGACTTCTGGATTGTTTGCTGGATAGAAATACTGCGTTCTGATTGGTACATGTTCAAAAATGGACATGACAATTCACCTATCAAAACGCAATATTTCCATCCAGCACGAAAACAAGCATCGTGTGCTGCTGGCTTTATTTCGATTAGATCCAAAACTCAGCGCACGTGATGTTGAAAGTTGTGTCCGATTTTTACAAAAGCGAATTTGTACCCCTTAAATTGTTACATATTCTTACGTGATGTAACTTTGTGCGGCTGTTTTCAAATATTTTTATAAAATGGAAAAGTGCAGAATATGTGGCTCTGCTGATTTCTATAAGGATTCCGGTTATTTTTTCTGTGTAACATGTCAAACGCAAAACGAGGTAAGCTTGGATAAAGGATAATAAGAATAAATTAAAGAATGTTATTATATCGAAGTAACATATAATATGAAATTTGCTTAGGATATCAGAGAAGAAATATTAGAAGTACGTATAGATGATACTACAAAATTGAGGAAAACGAGAATTCGTTGTGCGAGACGCAGCAGAACAGGTTTGTTCTTCTTTTCTTTTTAAAAAAGAATTTGTGTAACTTATGGAAAAATAATATATAATGCTCAAAGAATCAAGTATTTCAATTATTTCAGCAATACTAGTCTGGTTTAGCAATAACTAGTTAAATTCTGTCTTTATCACTTAGATATAGCCAAGGATAGAATAATGATTCTTTATTACTACTAGCTAGCTTTCTGAATTCATCCTAAACCAGATTAGGATTACTGTGCAAATATAATCAGTTATGTGTATTATTACTCATATGTAAGTTTAATATTTGCTCATATATAGATGAGGAGCTTGGATGGACATCATGGGAACTTTACAATTTTGTTTTGGTTGGTTTAACGAATGAACTTATTGAACTTGGTGCACCAGTAGATATAAAAGTTACAGTATTACAATTATGGGCAAGATATCTTGGGAAATTAGAAGTAGCTTTTATATCAACAAAAAGGAAACTTGTACCAAAATTAGCTAGAAAATATAAAAAAAGGTTCCTATCATTTATATTTTTTAAGAATCATTTATCTTTAATAAGTTTAATTTTTAGTAT